CCTCGGCCTCCCAGAGTGCTGGGATTACAGGTGGGAGACACCATGCACGGCCCAAACTGCAAACTTTTAGTATATTTTTCATAGCTCTCATCAGGATCTCAAAGGAGTTGTTGAAGTGCTTAAGAACCACTGCTGTGAATCATAAAGTGGGAATGGTGTAGATGGGCTAACATTTAAGCACTTGAAAAGCTTCTCTATGTTATCATATACCCTTCCAATCACATTGTATAATGGGTGGTTTTACCTCACAGATGCAACAACATGTTCTGAGTCGATTCACAAATCTATAGCCACAGCTCCCAATGGAGAATAAGCCATTGGTTTGCGTTTAAATCTTCTGTGCTTAAAAAAATCTATCCACCCTTAGGGAAGTTTACTAAAAAAAAAAGTACACAATAAAAACATTCAAATATATTAAAAATAACTTGGGTGGGCGTGGTGGCTCACACCTGTAATCCCCAGTACTCGGGGAGGCCAAGGGCAGGTGGATCACAAAGCCAGGAGTTCGAGACCAGCCTGGCCAACATGGTGAAATCCTGTCTCCACAAAAAAATACAAAAATTAGCCAGGCATGCTGGTACATGTCTGTAATCCCAGCTACTTGGGAAGCTGAGGAAGGGGAATCACTTGAACCCAGGAGGTGGAGGTTGCAGTGAGCCGAGATCATACCACTGCACTCCAGCCTGGGCAACAGAGCAAGACTGTCTCAAAACAAACAAACAAACAAACAATCTTAATGAAGTCACCTATAATCCCTTTCCCCAGAAATAATTGCTTTTAAGCTTAACTCATCTTTTTTTTTTTTTTTTAAAGAGACAGGGTTTCGCCATGTTGGCCAGGCTGGTCTCGAACGCCTGACCTCATGATCCACCAGCCTTGGCCTCCTAAAATGCTGGGATTACAGGCATGAGCCACCGCGTCTGGCCAACTCATCATTTCTGTATCTTTCTTCAAAAGATACAGAAAATACATATAGACAACTACATAGAGAATTTTTTTTTTTTTTTTTTGAGACGGAGTCTTGCTCTTGTTACCCAGGCTGGAGTGCAATGGCGCGATCTCGGCTCACCGCAACCTCCGCCTCCTGGGTTCAGGCAATTCTCCTGCCTCAGCCTCCTGAGTAGCTGGGATTACATGCACGTGCCACCATGCCCAGCTAATTTTTTGTATTTTTAGTAGAGATGGGGTTTCACCATGTTGACCAGGATGGTCTCGATCTCTTGACCTCGTGATCCACCCGCCTCGGCCTCCCAAAGTGCTGGGATTACAGGCTTGAGCCACCGCGCCCGGCCTATATAGAGAGTTCTATAGATAGAAAAAATATATATAGAACTAGCCACATTAAACATATATAGAAATACATTTATTTCTGTATGTATATAAATATATGGTATAGAAATATATAATGGCTTGAAAATGTTTCCCTGTCAATCAGTACTAGTCCAGGCTCTTTATTATTTATTTATTTATTTTTTTAAAAGACGGGGTTTCACCATGTTGGTAAGGCTGGTCTTGAACTCCCGATCTCAGGTGATCCGCCTGCCTTGGCCTCCAAAGTACTTGGATTACAGGCGTGAGCCACCACGCCCAGCCGCCCAGGCTCTTTAAAGCACTGTGAGCCACGGCATACTGTGCTTTAAAGAGTAGCCCACAGGGATGGGATTTGGTGGAACTGTATACAAATATTTCGATTGGTTAAAAAACACTTCTGAGGCTTGGTGGCTCATGCCCTAGCACTTTGGGCGGCCTACGCCAGTGGATTACCTAAAGTCGGGAGTTCGAGACCAGCCTGACCAACATGGAGAACCGCCGTTCTCTACTAGAAATACAAAAATTGGTCACACCTGGTGGCGCCCGGCTGTAATCCCAGCAATTCAGGAGGTCGAAGCAGGATAATAGTTTGAACCTGTGAGGCGGAAGTTGCCGTGAGCAGAGATTGCACCACTCCCAAATACTTTGGGAAACTGCTTTCTGATGTAAATTATTTGCTGTTAAAAAACGAGATTAGGGGCCAGGCGTGGTGGCTCACGCCTGCAATCCCAGCACTTTGGGAGGCCGAGACGGGCGGATCACGAGGTCAAGAGATCAAGACCATCCTGGCCAACACAGTGAAACCCCGTCTCTACTAAAATATAAAAAATTAGCTGGGCGTGGTGACGCGCGTCTGTTGTCCCAGCTACTCGGGAGGCTGAGGCAGGAGAATTGCTTGAAGCCAAGAGGCGGAGGTTGCAGTGAGCGGAGGTCGTGCCACTGCACTCCAGCCTGGCGCCTGGCGACAGAAGGAGACTATGTCTCAAAAAAACAAAAACAAAAACAAAAACAAAAAAACGGGATTAGGCCGGGCGGGGTGGCTCACGCCTGTAATCCAAGCACTTTGGAGGCCAAGGTGGGCAGATCACCCGAGATCGGGAGTTCAAGACCAGCCTGACCAACATGGTGAAACCCCGTCTTTAAAACAAACAAACAAACGGGATTAGAGGCGGGCACCGTAGTTTGGGCCTGTAATCCCAGTACTTTGGGAAACCGAGCGGGGTGTATCACCTGAGGTTAGGAGTTTGAGACCACTCTGACCAACATGGAGAAACCTCATCTCTACTAAAAATATAAAATTAACCAGGCCTGGTGGCACATGCCTATAATCCCAGCTATCGGGAGGCTGAAGCAGGAGAATCGCCCGAACCCGGGAGGCAGAGGTTGCGATGAGCCAAGATTGCGCCATTGCAATCACCGGCCTGGGCAACAGAGTGAAACTAAGTCTCAAAAAAAAGCCTTCTGATTACAAAATACAGATACACGTGGAAGGAACAGAAAGCATAAATTGAAACGGTTTGTTTTTTCAGCTGAGCTCTCTACTTCTCTGTAACAGAAACGTATCCGTCGGGTAGGAGACTGATTTAACTGGGCAAAATCCTACAGTTAAAAGTAACCTCTGTTGGGCGTGGTGACTGACGCCTGTAATCCCAGCACTTAGTGAGGCTGAGGTGGGTGGACCAGCTTGACCAATATGATGAAACCCCTCTCTACTAAAAATACAAAAATTATCTGGGCGTGGTGGCACGTGGCTGTAATCCCAGCTACTTGGGAGGGTGAGACAGGAGAATCGCTTGAACTGGGGCGGCGGAGGTGGCAGTGGGCCTAGATCAGGCCACTGCACGCCAGCGTGGGAAACAAAGAGCAAAACTCTATCTCAAAAAAAAAAAAAGAAAAACGAGAAAAAAAAGCCAAGATAAATAAAAAAAGGCCGGGCAGCGGTGCTCACGCCTGTAATCCCAGCACTTTGGGAGGCCAAGGCGGGCGGATCACCTGAGGTCAGGAGTTCGAGACCAGCCTGATCAACATGGAGAAACCCCGTCTCTACCAAAAGTACAAAATTAGCCAGGCGTGATGGCGCATGCCTGTAATCCCAGCTACTCGGGAGGCTGAGGCAGTAGAATCGCTTGAATCCGGGAGGCGGAGGTTGGGATGAGCCCAGATCGGCCACTGCATTCCAGACTGGGCAACAAAAGCTAAACTCCGTCTCAAAAAAACAAATAAACAACAATAATAATAAAAGTAATTAATCCATTTTTTATGTGTGACATTTTTCTTTTAAGGGCTTACCAAGTAATCTGGACTGATTTAAACTTCATTTCTTCATTAACACGTGTTCAAACAAAGCTTAAAGTCCTATTTTCTTTCGAATGGCGTCTAGGCACCTGTTATTCAACTATCAGTTGGTTAAGTTCTGTACCTCAAGGTAGATTTAATTGTAAATCAAAACATTTAGTATCCACACTTCGAGGGCTATCTTTAACATCTTTTTTATTTATCCCCGTCCATTTGATAACTGTATGAAATGCAAGACATTAAGCTGAACGCCATCCAGCTCTCTCGTTTTTCTAAGCAGGATCCAAATCTGTCATAATGGGGTAGCCCCTCATTCTCTTGGTAACTCATTTCTACCCCTGGCCTGGCCAACTTAAGATGTGAGTCTAATACACCCTACGTAATCTTTGCTCGGCCTACTGGCCAAAGCAAATTTGTACTGAGTACCTTCCGAACTGAGAAGTATACCCAAAGGTTTAGAAAGGGCTGGATTGAGGGCTACAAGCAACGGCCACAACTAATTTGTACCCATTCTTACTAACTTTAGGGAACCAGACCGAATGCTTTTCCACCCTTTTGACCTTCCTTTAGTTCGCGACACAAGAACATACAAAAGACCATAGCGACACCATTTCTGACGGCTTCAAATTTTGAACCGAAACTACGTCAAAGCACAAAAGCATCCGTGGTGTCTCCCAGCGGAATCCAAGACCCCCGGCCGGATGCCAAGCCGCTGGAGTTTCAGTAGGAGAGGAAGGCTCACCCTCCCACCGCATGGCGACGCCCCGGCGACTGGAGAAGCTCAGACAAGCTTGGAAGCCAATCACCAGCATACAGCAGCTCTGGGTAATGCAGAGCCCTAGCCCAAGACCAAGGGCCTCGGCCAGCACTCAGAGCCTCCAGGGAGAGGTCAAGTCTCTCATCCTGTCCTATTCCTCCCTTCGACTTCCCTCCCAAAGGGCTGCTAATCAGCATTCAAGAATCGCTACGCAAAGGCCTTCTGGTCTGCAGAACGCACTCCAGCAAGCCCATCAGGAGAATCAAGGCCGCCTCCTCGCCCCTATGGGGAAGATGGCGCCCGTCACCCTTTCTCCCTCCCGGGTAATCACAAGGACCAGCCTCCCTCCCTCGCTACAAAATGGCGCCTCCCGCTGGGGCCCCAGAATCGGTATAACTCATTTGTCAGTGAGGCGGTGTCGGTCTGGGATGAGCAGTCTTGTCAACCAGTCAAACACAGGAGCTTTGATTCTGCCCTTTGCGCGAGCCACTGAGGGGCGGGCTGTAAAGCCAGGTCTGGCTGACGTCAGATGAGGGGGCGCCGCTAGGGCGGTTTTCTTTCACGTTGACGGAATTTGGGCCAATGGAAAGCCGGAAGCCTCCCTTGAGTGATGTAATTACAGCCCAATGGAAGCTGGGGGCGGGCCTCAGATAGACTATGCGGGTTGCGGGGCCTGGGGGCCGGACGGCTGTTTCCTGTCCTGGTGCATGGTGGTCGGACGAAGGAATTGTTGGAAAATTTTCTCGGAGGTTCGTATATAAATGTGTTTTTACCCAGTGTGCATTATTCTCCGCCAGGCCGCCGCCCTCAGCGCGGCGGCGCGGGCCCGCTTGGGCCCGGGCTCCGGCTCCCACTGCTTAGCGTTCGCTGCAGGCCTTGCCGATTTTACGGGCCGGCCGCGGTAGCGGCGCCTGGGCAGAAGCGGAGTTTATTAATAACCCACGGCCGCCACTCTGGGCGTCGGAGCTTTTCTCGCTGAGGACTCAACCTCCCCCCCCAACTTGTCTCTGAGCGATGCGCCCCGTCTGTATCCCTCTGGGGACCGCCAAGGGGAGGGAGTGAAAGAGGGGAGGGTGGAGCCCTCGGGAGCCTGGCCGCGTTTTTCGGCCTGATCTCCCCGCGAAACGAGTCCCCAGGCGCCGCCGAGGCAGAGTTCCGCCGCCTGGGACGCCGGGCCCACGGGCCGCACCAGGCCGCAGCGGGGGCGCCGGCGGCTGGGCTGGCCCAGGCCCTCCTAAGACCCCGCCTGCCGATCCCACCTAGGGCTACCCTCCCACCCTTATCGTGGGCAGATTTGTTCTTTCATTAAAAAAAGTTACTGAGGCCTAAATCGAATATTAGAAATTTACAGTTTATCATCCTCTCTCTTCTCCAGTTTTGGCCAAAAGAGTAAACAAATTCTTTTAAGTCACTTTGAAACAATGTGGAACGTGAACCAGTTTTTATTCCTTCCCCTTTTGCTTTTTGACATTTTTTTCCCCACATAATAACGAAGTTAAAAAGAAGAAAGGATACCATTGCCAGTCCATTATTTGTTTAAAATCAGCTCCAGCCTTTGCTTTGGAAGTGTCTAAATCAGCTGGTGTAGTCAAGTGGGGATGTGGGGAGAAATTGTATGTTCGAGGTTGTGGTCAGTTTTGTCCTGAGTCTTACTAGAAAATAATTGTGTTTTGCTGTAGTTGACTAAAACGGTACTTAGTGCTTTTTTCCTGCTGAGTTTGTAGAGCCAAGTTTACGTTTAATAAGAAAATACGTGATAAGGAGATCATCCAAAAGCACCCATAAGATGCATAGCTAATTTTGACTGTTTGGAAATACTTTTTTTTTTTTTTTCCTTAATTACTAGTGTCCACTATTTGGAAATTCTGTGATCAGTCAGCTGTCTGCAGATAATTTGAGTGCCTTTTTTTCCCTTTGCTGATACTCCCATTTATTTTTTAAAATGTAATTCTCATACCTTGCAGTTCACCCATTTAAAATGTGTAATTTGGTTTGAGCAACCTAGGGAGACGGCCCTCCCCAGTTTCTACAAAAAAAAAAAAAAAAAAAAATTTTTTTTAAGTGAAATCAGCATGTGCCTGTAGTTCCAGGTACTTGGATGCAGATGTGAGAGGATCGGAGTTCCAGGATACAGTGAACCATGATTGTGCTATAGCACTCCGATCTGGGTGACAGAGAGAGACCTGTCTAAAAAAAAAAAGTGTATAATTAGTTGAATTTTAGGCCTGACGTGGTGGCTCACTCCTGTAACCCTAGCACTTTGGGAGGCTGAGGTGGGTGGATCACATGAAGTCAGGAGTTTGAGACTAGTCTGGACAACATGGTGAAGCCTGGTCTCTACTAAAAATACAAAAATTAGCCGGGTGTGGTGGTGTGCGTCTGTAACCCCAGCTACTCGGGAAGCTGAGGCAGGAGAATCGCTTGAACCAGGGAGGTGGAGGTTGCAGAGAGCCGAGATTGTGCCACTGCACTCCAGTCTGGGTAGCAAAAGTGAAACTCGGTCTCAAAGGAAAGAAAAGAAAAATGGAATTTTAATGTCTTCAGAGTTGTGCAACCATTGCTACAATCAATTATTTTACAACTTATCACCTCAGAAATAAACTATTTCCATTAGCAATTACTCCCCATTTCCTCTCAGTTCTCCTGTCCACCCAGGTACTAGTTTGTACATTTGTCTATTCTGGACGCTTCACATAAATGCAATCATATAGTATGTAGCCTTATCCAGGGTCATTTTGTTGTAACATATATCAATACTTTATTGCCATATAATATTTAATTGTATGAACATAGCACATTTTATCCATTCATCTGTTGATGGACATTTGGGCTGTTTCTACCCTTTGCCTACTATGCATAATGCTGTGAACATTTTTTTTTTTTTAAGGCTGGAGAGGCATGTTTAGTCTTGATAAACTTACATAATAAACTCTTAGGACATTTGATTCCAAAGTGTATGTATGAATTGGCTTGACATAAATATAAACATAAGGGCAGTTTAAACATTGGCATTAATTTACATGAGTCAGTTCAAGGTCAGTGACTGGAGAACTGAATTAAGAGAAACCTGAGGTCAAAAAAACTCTTCGGGAAGCAGCCCTGTAACAATGTACCTTTGAAGATGGGGGCTGGGGGGCGGGGCTACAAATCCACTATGAATGAATACCATTAAGCAAAGGATGTACAGCATCCATCAACATCTGTTTCAAAAACAGCCTGTTTCTAAAATGATACATCTCTTTACAAAGTAAACATTACAGTGTTAGTAACTATAGAGACACCATTGGGATGAGTTCTAGATCCGCTGCTGACTTCCATGAAGCAGCTGACTTCCGTGGAGCAACCGTGGGCCATGGCTTAAGTCATCCATCTTAATCCTGTGGCTTTAAGAACATCTTCTTTGCTTTAATCGGTTGTACGTCTCTATTTTCATCTTCTTCATAATTGGCATGGTCTCTCTTTCTGGCAAACTTTTTCCCAATTGTCCCCACCAAAGTCTCATATTTTCTAGCCTTCTCTTCATCTGACACATGGAGCTCCACTGTTTCATCTTCAACTTCTACTGCTTTGTGCTTAGCATTCATCTGAAGCATTAATTTTCTTTCTCTGCTCTGGCAAATCCAAGTACTGGTGCTCTTAACTAATAATTTTCTTTTCTTCTTCTAGTTGTTTCTTGGTTTTTGAGTCGATCCCCTTTGCATAAACTTCATCCGCAGCGATTCTTGGACAATTTTGTCTTGCGCTCGGCCACGATGGGGGCCCCTGGCCCTGCTGTGAACATTTGTACAAAAGTTTTTGTGTGGACACAGGTTTTCATTTCTCTTGGGAGTAGAATACCTAGGAATAGATTTGCTGGGTCATGTGGTAACTGTGTTCAACCTTTTGGGGTACTCTAAAATTTCTTCAATGTGGCTGCACCATCTTTACATTCCTACCAGCAGTGTGTAAAGGCTTCCAGTTTCTCCACATTCTTGCCAACACTTGTTATCATCAGACTTTTTGATTATAGTTTTCCTAGTGTTGATAAAATGGTGTCTCTTGTAGGTTTGATTTTCATTTCCCTGATGGTTAATAACGTTGAGCATTTTTTCTGTGCCTAGTGATCACTTATAATCTTTGGAGAAATGTCTATTTGGATCCTTTACCCATTTTTAAGTTGAATTCTTTGTCTTATTATGATTGGATTGTGAGAGTACTTTTATATGCTCTAGATAGAAGTCCGTTACCAGATACATGGTTTGCAAAATGTCCATAGTCCTTTGCTATGTGTTGGGTTGTTGCTGTGAAGTAAGGGTTCATTGTGTTCTTAATAGAAAGATGGCCTGGCTGGATTGAACTGTCCCTCTACTACCTGGTTTCATTTTTAAAATAAATAAAGAACCACTCCACCCTCATAACATAGTTGCATTTCTGGAAGATAAGCATTGAATTTTTAAATGTTCATACAAGCATGTACAGATATCTGTATAAATTTTTTAAAACATGAATGCAATCATATGGTATATTCTGCAACTTGCTTTTTCCCACTTACAACATATCTTGGACGTGTTTCCCACTGTTTCAAATAGATTGATCTCATTCTTTTAAATACCTACATGTTTCATTTAGGGATGCCCTATATGGATGTGTATGTATATGTGTGTATAGATACATTTTTAAAATCGTTTGGCTTTTTTTTTTTTTTTTTGAGACGGAGTTTCGCTCTTGTTACCCAGGCTGGAGTGCAATGGCGCGATCTCGGCTCACCGCAACCTCCGCCTCCTGGGTTCAGGCAATTCTCCTGCCTCAGCCTCCTGAGTAGCCGGGATTACAGGCACGCGCCACCATGCCCAGCTAATTTTTTGTATTTTTGGTAGAGACGGGGTTTCACCATGTTGACCAGGATGGTCTCGATCTCTTGACCTCGTGATCCACCCGCCTCAGCCTCCCAAAGTGCTGGGATTACAAGCTTGAGCCACCGCGCCCGGCCAATCCTTTGGCTTTTTAAAGAGACTGGGTTTCAATCTTGTCACCCTGGCTGGAGTGCAGTGGCACGATCTCAGCTCACTACAACCTCAACTTCCCAGGTGCAAGTGATCTTCCCACCTGAGCCTCCTGAGTAGCTAGGACTACAGGTGCACATCACCATGCCCAGGTTTTTAAAAAACAATCTTTGTAGGCCAGGCACAGGGGCTCATGCCTGTAATCCCAGCACTTTGCGAGGGCAGGCCGGTGGATCACCTGAGGTCAGGAGTTTGAGAGCAGCTTGGCCAACATGACGAAACCCCGTCTCTACTGAAAATGCAAAAATTAGCCGGGAGTGGTGGTGCATGCCTGTAATCCCAGCTACTCTGGTGGCTGAGGCAGGAGACTTCCTTGAACCTGGGAGGCGGAGGTTGCAGTGAGCTGAGATTGTGCCATTGCACTCCAGGCTGGGCAACAAGAGAGAAACTCTGTCTCAAAAAAAAAAAAAAAAAAAAAAAGGCTAGGTGTGGTGGCTCACGCCTGTAATCCTAGCACTTTGGGAGGCCGAGATGGTGGATCACCTGAGGTCAGGAGTTCAAAACCAGCCTGGCCATCATGGTGAAACCCCATCTTTTTAAAAAAAATTTTTTTAAAAAGTTTGTAGAGGCAGTAGTATCACTATGTTGCCCAGGATGTGGATGTCCAATACTTAACTTGTCCTTATTGATAGACAAATAGGTTGATGATTATTTTTCTGCTATAAATAATACCTTAGTGAAACTTGCACACTTCCATGAGTGAGTGT